CTGGGGTAGATGTTGAACGTAGTTTTTCTAGCTATAAAAGCATTTTATCAGATAAAAGGATTGCACTTAAAGAAGAAAGTATTCAGATGCTCAATTTTCTTTATTTTAATTTAGGTGGTAATGTTAATTATGATTTATTAGATAGCGAATAATTAAATTTACTGTATATGTTAATAAATAAAATAAATAAAATAATAAAATTTGCGCTATTATAATATTATTAACTCCGGCCAAAATTACACTAAATCTGGCCAGAATTAAAATCACACCAAATCACACTTTTTGTCTAAATCACACCATACTTTTTGGGTCATCGTATCATGAAATCCTGGACACCCTAGCGCTAAGAGGTGGTGAGCATGTTAATTTGCTTGCTTCCCAGTTAGTTGATACTCCAGATGGAATTATTTTCAGAAAAGGACAACAAAAAAATGATCAAGGTGGTATTGATGGCAATCAATTTGATTTAAATATTCCTTTTCCTCCTGATCCTACTGGGATTGCTGGTCCAAATCATGATATCAAAAAATACCTTTCCCTTCGACCTCAAAAAGGAAAATGCCTATACCTTTATTTATCAGTTAGCCGAAGTGTTAATGGTATTTATTACTTTTATTTTACGTGTATTAATTTTATTAATTTTTAAACATTAATAACATTAATAATATTGTATTTATTAGCTATAGCTCAAGGGAAATGGTATGCTGACAAGCAATTGTCTGATCGTACTATTCGTTCAATGTTTAAAAGCATATATGTTGAATGTGAAATTGATATAAAAGGAAGAAATATTTGCAATCACTCTGGAAGAAAAACAAGTATTTTTGAATTGTTTGATCTTGGAATTCCTGAAAATACTGGCATGGCAATTACTGGACATAACTCTGTTAGCGGGTATCATGCATATGCCAAACCAAATAATAATCACAAAAGAGAGGCACTTTCCGGAATTGTTAATCAACTTGAGGGACTTCCTTTATTACCATCTTCTTCCAATACAATTGTAAATTATTTTTTTATATTCTGATATATTGTTTAGATGTATAATATCATATTAACTAATTTTGTATTTAGAAACGAAAAAATTCAATTGCTTCTCAATCTTCTTTAATGTCTGACAGTATTACAGTAATTCAAATCTTGATGTAGAAAATGAACTTCAGGTAATAATATTAAAATTATTAATATTGTTTGTTAGATACTTTTATGCAATAATTTTTTTTTAAAGGGAAATTCTGTTTCGGGCTTTGCATTGCCAAGGAAATTATGCAAAAAAATAATTATTCGCAAAGTAATCATAACTCTACTGAACTTGATGAAGATCATACTTTCAAGAAAAGAAAAAACCACAAATACAAGAGGGTAAAAATAGTCAAGAAATACTATAAAAATTGTACTTTTAATAAATAAACTAGTTATTAATATAAATAAAAATAATGATATCTAGTAATAAATAATAATTGTATAGTAACAAAATAAATTGCATAGTAACAAAATATATGCATAAATCATCAATAGTAAATTACCGATAAAATAGGATTCCTTATCTGATTCACGCTCAATAGCAATCACTAACTCTTTTAATCGTGTACCTCGATCCACTAGTTTTTTAATAACTCCATTGATTGATTCAACTCGTTGTGTACTTTCTATACCTGCAGTAAATGTTTTTGCAATTGAATATCTAGCCCAAGAATTCCGAGAAGGATAAAGTCAATTTTCAAGATATGAATGACATGGCTCATATTTATTCAACATTTCATGATATCTCATATCAAATTGTTCTTCATTATAACTATTTCGCATAATATAAAAATCTGTTACAAAGTTTTTTGCCATGTCACCTCGCAACTTGGATTTTGATTTCCTTTTTATATTCTCTAGAAGATGATATATACAAAGTAAATGTTGGATTTGTGAATAAACTACTTGAACAGATGCTAACATTGCAGGATCTTCATCTGTAAATAGGACCTTAGAAAGGAAATTATTAGTTGCTTGTAATGTACACTGAAGAATCCAGTCATAATCAGCTTGAGTTTCATAT